CAGCGACTTTTTCGTCAAAGCCGACTAACCGGAAGGGGCACTTTATATAATAGGTCTTACACATTTTTACAAATACAGCGGGCACATATTAAGTGCAGCGGGCGTATTATACCTCCTGAAAGTCCCTCTTATAATCGAATTTACTAAATTTGATCACTGTTTTCTCAAAAATATTTTGTCTATTTTAAAATGGCGAACTTCAAATTTAATAATGTTGGACAACTTTTGAGCAATTTCTTTCTTCTTTGGATCACCTTTTGAAAAACACAAATTGGTCTCAAGTCAATATATATTGATGGTAATTCATAAAATTACTTGCGATCTAGAGATTTAATCTAAGAAATGTATTAGACGAAAAAATATATCTTTTATATATTGGATTGGCAAATAAGTCTTTTCTGTTTTTCAGGGTGAAATAAAACTCAATGTATCATAGACATAAAATTAATTTTAATCTTCAATATGAGCTATGGGGCTCCACCAAACCTTCAAATTCCTCTCGTATCCAATCCGAAATCCTTCGTAAAATCCTCAATGCTCCTTACTTTGTTACAAATAAAATCATCCATAATGACCTTAATGTTCCTTATGTATCAGATTTGGCGAAATCCAGATATCTGTCCTTCCATAATAAACTTCATAACCACCCCAACCCTCTTGTTTCTAACCTTGCTTCCTATTCAATTCCTGATAATCCTCCGAGGCGTCTGAAAAGAAGATGGCCACGTGATCTCCTAATGTAGACATATTATTAGAGTGCTACCAATGGGTAGTTTCTCAACATGTGTTTCATGTCTTTATATCCATGTGCGAATTTACCAGATGTATTTTTTGTATACAGTTGTAAATATCATATAAAGAAATAAAAAAAAAAATCTTTAATATGTTGACCATTATTTAATATGACTATTTCTCATCTTTCCAATAACTGCATAACACTGTGTTCATAGAATGGCTGGAGTTCATTGTTAAAAAACTGATCCAAGTGGTTATTTTCATCTCTCATTTGCCGTTCCGAATCGGAGGCCCATGAATCAAGTGAGCTTTTTTTGGAGAAATTTTGTCTAGAACCCGCCTGCTGAAGTTCGACCATTAACAACTAAGACACCCTATATACTACGAAAGAAAACAAAACGGTAAAGTTAATAAATATAGCGATAGTTTGGTAAATAGACAGTATATTAGGAAAAGAACCTTTATGATTGAACGGTAGCTAAATATTTTTATTACTTCTAGACACAGAGATCTATCCCACGATAAATTTTTCTCGAATCCCTCTTGCCTGGAACTGATACTAGCTCCTGAAGTCGACATGATTGTCGCAACGACTGAAACTTTTTTTTTTTTCTCTCGTCTTAGGAAGCAGTATGTTACAAGTATAACATTTACTTGACAAAATCCAGTTTAAAAGGCACCATATATGGTTAGAGAACGATATCAGGTCAGCCATTCATCAAAGACCAAGGACCTAATTGCCCATATGTCTCCTGCCAGTGATGAATAGTACTTTGGTAGTAACATTAGGCCCATTTCATCACTTACCTGCAACAAAAAAACTCTGCAAGTTGTATATATGTATTTTTTCTTTTAAATTTATATTAATGTAGGTTTACTAATATAGAGAAAAATATACATTAAACGCAAAAATATCTGGTGTGTTGACTCACAGGACTTTCCAACTAATTTCAAACAAATTTAAACAATTATTAATTTGTCAATTAAAAATAAAATATCTGTTGTGTCCGGTCACACGACTTTCCTGCCGATTTCAGACAAATTTATATTTTTAAGGATAAAATAAAATTGTCAGAAATTTCAGTCGATATTTTTATCGGCTAATATAATAAAAATATCGACTGAAATTCCTGATACTTTTGTTTCGCCCCTATGATTGATCAGTTGACTACTTACCTATTTCTAAAGATTTAAATATTAAAAAAAAAATTAAAATAAAAAATTGAGCTTATTCATATGAATTTTTCTGAAAACTAATAAGAGAAATGATATAATTTCTTCAAAGTACTAAAGCAACGCAAACGGGCACACTTACCATCCCTGGATTCAGGGAAAAAAAAGTACCATTAAAATCAGTCTATCAAATTCAATACACTATAACTTTATTAATAAGGAAATTTACTGAACGTAGGGAAGTAATAAAACAGAAGTAGAAAATAGAATACGCTCTAATTAAAATTATGTTTTATTTTGAAAGGAATTTAATTAACTTTCAAAAGATTAAATATAAATTAAATCATAGAATCTATACTTTGTAAGTCTGGTCTCAAAACATTTTTCTTTTCTTTATAATTTTTTTTCGGTAAAACACTACATTTACGAAAATAAAAGAATTGAAAGGTAAGAGATTAGAAAATATTCATTAAAGTCGTTTTAGTTCTATAGAATATGAAACAACATGTTTATCTCTTATTGGGTAAGTCTGATTTTTTTAGGGACTAATGCATGTGTACAGCACCCCGCGTTGCCCGGCAACCCGAATCAAAGATAATTTGATAAAATGATGAGTTCGCGTCTCGCGATACAACAATTGTAGAAAATATGTTTTTGGGACTCAGGGGACAATGAAACAGAAAGTTCCGTTAAAATCCGAAATCGATAGCTTGACGCGATTATGTAATACTTACGGTAATACTTTCCTTACCTTGAATGCATCGCTAAGAAAGTAAAAATACATTTACATGAAAACATGGAGTCTCATTCCATAAAGCAAAAATGACCAACTTTTTGCTAAAGCAACGCTCTTTATCGATTCAATTGTGCAACAAATTACTTCCGAACATCTTTTTTGTTCTTCTTCTTCTTATTCAATATTCTCTTCTACCTTTCGGTGTCGAAATTTTTGTACAACGATTTCCATTCGTCTCTGCCAAGGGCTCTTGGCTCTCGGCAATCCAATTCCTCTGTCTTTAAGAATATTCTTGAGATTATCTTCCCAAGTAATTCTTGGCCTTCCTCTAGGTCATTTTCCCGCTGGTTTAGCCTCATAATTTTCTTTGCTGAATGGCGGTCATCCATCCTCATTACATGACCGAACCATCGAAGCTGCCGTTTCTCTATTACCTGGTCAAGTTTCATCTTTTTTGTTGATAGGATTAATTCGGAAATTATTGTAAGTGTTTATTGTACATTTAGATAGGTTTATGGTTTTTTTTCCATAATATCAATTTTTCTTCTTTATTATTTTTTTTTACTTTTACATTTGAAATAGTTTTATTATCGGTTGCATTTTCGCTAGAGGGTTACTGGATCCAAAGTTTATTGACCAGTAATAGAAGTCGAAATGGCTTTAGTGTTACATCATATTAAGTCTTTCATTTGTTTAGGGACATTTAAAGAATAAAATATATTTCAAGAGCAGTATTATATGTACATACCATATGATGTGTCTATCAATAAATAAATATGTATTTCATTTTTTCTACACAATTATTATTTTGTTTTAATAATTTTGACGGTATTTATAACCAGCAAAAGATTTCCCATTCAAATCAGATTAAATCCTTAGGGAAACGGAGTTAGAAAATGCCTGTCGTTTTATAGGACAATATAAAAATATTGTTCCTCAACAGGAAATTGATCAACGATTAGCCAAGAAAATGCAAGTGCTTTGCTTAGGTCCACTGAAAAACAATTCTACATAATTACAATGTCATTATTACAATAAAATAATTTTTCTGGATAATTTATTGCTTTATCTATTAATGTTTTAAAATTATGAGAACATTATTTTCATTACATTTGCTTTATTAAGACATTTAATATTTATAATTGTGGGTGAATGGTTGACTGTCGTGAATAATGAAGAGAAGGATGGTTGGGGTGATCAGTCAGAAATGAGAAGGCTAAAATAAATAATAATATTTATTTTAATATTTGCCGACGTTTCAACCTGAAGTTCAGGCCTTCTTCAGGGCTATTTTATTATTGCCTTCTTATTTCTGACTGATCCTGTGGTCGAGAGATTCTCCTAGAGCACATCAGCCTCTTTAAAGCCAGTACCCTTAATTAAATATTAATTAAGGGGAAAACCTAGTGTTCGAGCGTGATTCTGCCCGAATCATGTCCCTGCGCAACCGTTGACCTTGAAACAGTACTTCGTTTAATAGTACCGAACCCAAGACTTCATGGGTTGTAGTGGTACAGGTTTTTTTTTTTTTTTTTAAATAACTGTTGTGAATATGTATGAAATTTTATCTTTTCTAAACACCTCGGCTTCCCAACGATATGTTTTTTATTAGAAAAATGAATAAAGATTTACTTCACTGACTCATCTCAGACAGTTCATTGAAAAAGACATGCATATGGTCAAAAATGAAATGTAAATTAAATGGAAAATAACATTAGGCCAACAAAAATATTAGGTCATTTGTCCTATATAATCTCGTTATTTTGAAAATTTGGGGGTCCGGTCACGCCGAATGGCTTAATATTTTTGGAGGCCACCATTTCTATCAATTTTGTTATGAATTTATTTTACAATCTAAGAAGAAAGCAAATGGGTATTTACGAGTTTTTAACACCTAATTAAATAGATAAAGTTTGCCTTCCTTCTCTTCTCTCTTCTTCTTTATCTTTTCTTCTTCTACCGCTGAGCGTTGTGAGGAGCCTTTTTGTAGAGCCGAATCCACAACAAGTTTGCCTTCCTAGAGATTGAAAACGCCTCAATTCCAAGAGTTTTCGTAAATAAATAGTTGTAGGTTACGATGAGATGAAATTTACGAAGTTTCAGGCGGATGTTAATAATTCGATAAAAAGGGGTCTATACCGCGGACCCCTTACAAGAAAATATATATAAACCTTCTGCCCCTATTCATTGTAACTTATGATGTACAAGGTTACTGGGCCACCTTGAGAGAGAACACAAGAAAACAGCCCTTGACATCCGAGTTCCGCCACAATCATCTGTACTTGGGTAACCCAGTTATAAGTTGGATCAGGTTTTCCAACTTATTTAGAAAAATTGTGTTTTCTCTCAAGGTCTGATGAGGATCAAAGATGAAATCATGGAAAAAATAAGAAACCATCACGCATCCAAGGACATCGACATCGACAGAGTGTTAAACTCTAAATCAAACCCAAGATATAGAAAAATCTGCTCCTTTAATGTTAACAGACCAGAGGATTCTCTTCAGTTCAGGGCTCTGAATTTAAATAAATTAAGAGCCGTTAGTCGTCTCAGAGTAGCAAGTAAAGATTTTATGAAAATATACTTAAAAGATGCTATTTTGACTATTAAATCCAGTGAGGTATGTGGTGCATGCAACTGCCTTGTAACTGACCCGGTAACTCATTTTCTGATCCAATGTATCAAGTTCAACGAGCCAAAAAATAAGTACTTGAAGGCATTTATCACTGAACCAGAGAAGATGCTAGTGTGGAGGAGATACTGAAAATAGACACTAAGAAAAAAATAAACCAACTGTATTATTTCATACAGGGCTGTTCATTGAACTGTTAAGTGGTATAGTTAATCATATAACATATATTAATGCTTATTTATATTGTCATTTGCCTTATACCTCTCGAATACTTAAAAAAAAAAGTTTTACTAATTGTTACGTATATATATATCGTTTACTAATTTGTTATTATATTAGTCATACTTAATGATGTGGACATTGTTAATGTTATGTTTGAATGCAGTAGTAGACTCAAGATCTAACATTGTTAATTATACCATTATAGGAATTTCCTTAGACAAATAAAATAAACTATCTAAAAAAAAAAAAAAGGTTACTGGGCCACATTATGTACTTTTTGAAACTTATCGAAGAGAACGGAACGGGGATCTGTTAGAATGCTATTATCGGGAGCGATGACTAACCGCCGCTCCTAGCTGTGGGGAAACAGGTTGAAGGGCGCCCTACGCAGGCCTAACTAATTGTTTACCGCCTGTCATTACCCGTTCCTCCGATAGAGAAATAACGAACCTCAGGATTTGGGCAGGGTCAAGGGCGGCGCAGGGCACCCGACATGCTTGTTCCCAGTGAAAGGGCTCTGGCTAAGGATTCGTTTCCATCTAATTAGCTTCGGAAGGTTACATGGAGCTTAGCCTGATTGCCTTTTGTCTATCCGGGTGCTCGCCTTCGCTCATTAAATTGCTAAGATATCGAGCGGCCGTATGGGCTATTCGAATAAACAGAGGAGAAAAACATTGCCAATTTCATAATATGGTTACAAAAACAATTCTTCAATGTAGATTACTATTTGCTCAGGAGTACCCTATCATTAAGCTGCTTGGGAGCCTGTAAGATTGAGGCCTTATGATTTCTATTTGCATAACGTGAAATTACATCTCGAGCATACATTACGGAGTAATTCAGGTAAGCGTAATTGTTAAAGTTCTGATAATTTTTCAGATAATATGACGTTATCATGTAAAATTCATAAAAAGAACACGATTTTTGTCTCAATGTGTATAGGTTATTAACTTTCTTGGTTTGACCTCAAGTCCAAGGGAAGTTGGTTTTTATTGCATATCAGGTACTAGCTGCCTATTTTTATCAGAATGAGATTTTTCATTATTTTTTTATCAATTATAACATTTTTTCTCTTTTTAACGAATTCATATCAAATTAATAAACAACTTCCAACAAGATGACAACACTACAATAGCTCTCTCGCATTTAATCACACTTCCTAGGAATTCTCTTATTACACTCGAAATCTAAATGGATCATCTTTGAGATCGGATATATCAATATTATTAAATAAAAATATGAAACCGTCATAAAAACAGTATTAGTAAAAATAGATTAATAAGAGTCATGACTGCAGTTAACATACTCCAAAACATGAGATAAAAAAGGCATTGGATAAAATATCTCCATCCTTTAACAATCTAAGTAATTGAAATAAGCCAGAGAAGAGGTATTGCTGAGTACTTTCCTTCTCCATGCTTGAGATATCATTTATATCTTGTATTTACAGCACATTTACTGATTGTTAACCAAAATCGACATGCGCAAATAAATATTTCATAGCAAAACAAATTTTTATTTTTTATTTATTTAACATGGTGGTGCCATGTACCGTAGCATAAGGCAAAAGGCACCATTCTTTTATTACATTTTATAATCGCTTAAAAACTTTTATATATTTTAAATATTGCACGATTCGGTCATTTAATTTATTTTCATTTCCTATCAATGTTTTAAGTCCTCTCCATTGATTTCTTATAACGTATAGGCTAATGAATAAAATTAAATTTTTTTTTTGGTTATTTCATCTAAGACGTTTCTTAACTCTTGAGAACTGCAATAACTGAAACTCAGATGATGATGAATTTAAGATTTTACACCTTTAAACTCAATCTAATAAACAAGCAAAACAATTTTCTCTTCACATTCTCATGTAGTAAAGACTGGTATTAATTAATGGTATGGAGATAATTGATCGTAATTTTAATTTATGAAGAAGTTGGTCATGGGTATGGTAAATATACAAACTATATATTATATTAGTGTATAATATATTATATTAGTGTTTTATTACATTTGTAATACAATATCTTTCTCCTTTTTAAGACATTCAATAGAATGTCTATTGACCGCCCACCAAACCAAGTTTTTAAAAATTGATAATCATTGCTGGTAGTCCGTGGTACAGAACTCTTTTTTATCGAATTATTAACATCCGCCTGAAACTTTGTAAATAGTTTCATCTCATCGTAACCTACAATTATTTTATCTATTTTGTGATTAAATTATCTTACGATCCAAGTAGAAAGCAAATGCATATTTACGAGTTTTTATTACTTAACGAAATAGACAAAGTTTGCCCCCCTCCAGATTGAACACGCCCCAATTCCAAAAGTTTTCGTAAATAAAATAGTTAAAGGTTACGATGAGACGAAACTATTTACGAAGTTTCAGGCGGGTGTTAATAATTCGAGGAAAAAAAGGAGTCTATACCACGGACTATTTGTTTTAAGGTGAGAATAATATATGAGTTGCGCACTTAATAATTAGGATTTGATGAAATTTCGGAATTCAGAGTGTGGTGTAAAAGTAAATCGAGTCACTTGAGCAACCGGGCTACCAAAAGTTCGCCTAGTTCCCACATTTCAAGTGTTGTTCTCAATTAAGGGAATTCAACAGACCTTGACGAAGCGGTTGTACCGAAGTTTGGGGATTTGGGGCGTCTGATTGCTAGCATTCCACGGATTGGGTTAAAATATCAGTTCGTTAACCATCTTTTGTATAGTTAAAACAGAACCGTGTATTATTGTATTTTTTTAAAAAGTGTAATGGTTCATACTTCTGTTGATCAGGAGTGCATTAGTATAATAAAACAAAATATTATTAAAAAGTTTACTTTATAATCTATTTTCTTTTATATATATATATATATATATATATATATATATATATATATATAACAGCAATCGTCGAAATAGTTTTAAATAATTAATACTTAAATAATATATATATATATATATATATATATATATATATATATATATATATATATTATTTAAGTATTAATTATTTAAAACTATTTCGACGATTGCTGTTATAAAATAGTTGCATAGAATTTGAATGTCATTTTTAGGTCAAAATCTTTAAAAATAATACGTCCCACCTTGATCTGTTGACTTTTAAAACCCTCTCAGTTTTATTTTAATTTAATTTTTTTTATTGAGTATCAATACAGTCTGTCACACTGGAGGACAATGGTACTAGGGCTATAATATTCATTCACACAATATGTACACAAGAAAGGAAAATAAATATAAATAACCAAAATAAAATAAAATATAAATACAAAGATAAAGCCGAATGATAATAAAACACATTCACATCTTTGTACAATTATTTACATTGGCCCAGGGGACTCGGAATCAAGCTTTGTCCTCCAAATGTGGAACCAGGACTCCAGAAGATCCCAGCCTCGTATTGTAAGCCAGTGGAGACTGATGGAGTCAGTTTTATTAATGTTGTTAGAATTTAAGGATCATCATTGGGATTCGTCTCTCATCCACGAAATTTCCTTTCGATTGATAAATATTTCATCAAAATCCATCCCTTTTGAGAGCCGGAAAATGGATCTATACTAATGTATTATATAGCGGTGGGGAACCGCGGCCTCGGCGGCCACATGTGGCCTCTGTGACGTCAAAACATCCGTCTACAGCTTCGTGAACTTCATCTCGTCTTAACTTACAACGTTTTTATTTACGAAAATTATCAGAATAGGGGTGTTTTCAAACTTTATCTATTTGATTAGTTACTAAAAATTCGTAAATAACCATTTTTTTAGGGGGAGGGGGTCCTCCCCTTTGTCGCCGTTAAGGCTATACGGGGTTTTAACCGGGTCAGGGGGTGTGGGCGGGGATTTAAAAGACTTCTTGGCACCGGGACGCGAACTCGTGACTATTTTTATAACACATTTGTCATATATCAGGTTGCCGAGCAACGGTGGTGCTGTGCCCATTCGGCCACCCCGCCCACCCGTAAATAACCATTTGCTTTCCGCTTGAATTGTAGGATAATATGATCACAAAATCGAGAAAAAAGGCGGTTTACAAAAATATTTGGCGACACCTAAATCTCTAGCATATGAAAATAGCGAAGTTTTATAGTCCAAACGGACCAATATTTTTGTAGGCCAAAAAAATAATAAAAAATTTGCAGGTTGCGATGGGATGAAGCTATTCACAAAGTTTCCGGCGGATGTTGATAATCTGATGAAAAGGGCTCTTTACCACTATAATAGATCTATTGGCAAGAAATACTTTTTATTTTTTTGGGCACAGCTGTTATTCTCCAAGGACGTTGTCGGAGAATAAAGTTATTTTTTACTTTTATTCTCTGTATTACAAAATTAAACTCGTATCAAATATTAATCGTAGTTGCGCAACTGAACTGGATAGTTTCTCTGCATTTAAAAAATTGCAAATTATAAAGTAATATCTTAAACCAAAATGGATCATATTAAATATTATAATTTTTGCTGTGTTAAGGTAAATCAACAAAAATAAAAATAGTACTAAGCTGTTTGTCGTTAACATTGAGCAGTACGAAAACAATTCAATTACACAATCGGGTGAATATCCGCTGAAGTGGACAACAGTTCGTTCACTGAACTGAAGTATGAATTGCGTTATCATTGTGGTTTTTGTTCATTTTGTGTCTTGTGATCTTATTGATCATCATTGGGAGGACTTCAAGAAGAAGCATGGTGAGTAAAATAAACAGCATGATAAATGGATGGAATTTTAATTCTAGCTTAGAATTATAAAAAAGGATTTTAGAATTATATAACATTATTAAAGGACATTGAGGTTAGGACATGCTAGCCAGAAAACTTAACATATAAAAATGCAAACATATTGGTGATGTCTAAGAAATGGATTCTATCAATAACATTGAACGGAGAATCCATTCAGGTTCTCACCTTCAGGTCAAAACGTCGGCAAATGTCAAAATAAATATTATCATTTATTTTTGGCTTCTTATTTGACTGATCACCCCAACTATTCTCCTCTTCATTATTCACGACAGTCAACCATTTTACCCACGACAATTATAATAGTGTTCAGAGATCACATTCACACTCTATGTACAATAAATAAAATAAATCATATAAATAAAATAAATCATAATTGAGTATATAAAATGCAAAAATTTTCAGTGAATATGTGACGACACAAGATGAAGTTCTTATTGATTCCTCAATTCAAAACGAAATGAAAATGTGTATTGAGTTGGCTGTTAAAAAATATTTATCTTCAGAATTAAAAACTTGTGATGGCGTCTTTCGTTTTAACTATCAAAGAACGAATTTGGTTTTGTGTCTGTCTGAAGTCAAATCTAAATGACGTGCATATGCATTTCTACCGCTAACTTGATTGTCATTACATTTTCCAAATTTTTGCGGATTGATACCTACATAGTTAAATATAATTTCATCAAATAATTTTACATACGAAGGAAAAAACTTATTTTGCTAGACACGTCATTTACTTTAGTATTATTATATTGCCGTTTATTATTTTTATTTATTGCATAGTATGAATGAGGTACTCTACATCACTATTACTATTGTCCTTGAATGTGACAAATTGTAATATCTCAATAAAGAAGTTAAAAAAAGAAAAAAAAAATTAAAAACGCTTAGCTCAAAGCTATAAAAAGAATAGGAATTAGTGAAAAATGATCTAGTGTTAATACTATCGAATCATATCTATTTCTTCCTCTGATTTGTTGCCAAACTTTTTTTCCTTGATACGCCGATATATCAATTATCGCACGTTCGATTTGGATCAAACTTAGAGAATAGTAAAAAAATGATCGAGTAGGTCTCATTATTTTTTAAATTCCCCTACTCCTTTAAAAAACAAAAACTTTCTTATACAAGTTCTATCAGGTATTGTAACTAAACATCCAATGTTAAGAGTAAGATATTTTTTTTTAATCTTTGATTATTAATCTGCACCTGTCGACAACTGTTGTCAATCAGCAGATGATCTGATAGTTCTGAAAGTAGGGAAACTGACATGTCAGGCATGGGGAAGGATAGAACCCTGCAGTACCTCTTCCCTGGCTTGAATCAATTACCATGGTTTGTCAAGGAAGGAGGTCTCTCATCCAGCGCCTTTTTATTCGCCTTCTCATATTGATGGGTATGTCAGCTGAAGCCGTATCTCTGATTAGTATGTTAGTATTTCCGTGTAAATTATTGTGAAATCGTTTGTAAAGAGTTCTTGGTCAAACTGTAGGTAGAAGGAAGTCAGTATGTATGATCGTAATATTGTTTATTAGAAACTTTAAAGTTTGTGTCTGCGAGTCTTTTTAGCTATACTGTATATCTGTGAGGAGTATGTCCATAATGGTTTAAGTAAGTATAGGTATTTAATTTCTGCCTCAGTTCTAGTTTTGAAGATTTGGAAAAAAGTTAGTAGTGACTGTCTATTGAAGGTCTTCCGTTTCATTTTAACATGTGGTCCCCAGGTCATCCTTCTGTCAAAGATAAGACCAAGGTAGTGGTGTACGGTGTTAGTCTGATAAATTTGGTTGTTTTCGATAAAAATTGGAGGGCAGGTATTTCTTCGAAGTGTAAATGTAATGTGTTTCGATTTATCGTGGTTTAATCGAATTTTCCATGATTTGTACCAGTCTTTTAGTTTATCTAAATTATGTAACGTCAGTGAGGCTTGTGTAGGGTCTCGATGTTGTTTGAGAATTGCTTTGTCGTCAGCATAACTAGGAGTCAATGCCTAATTGTTAATAGGTGTGTCGTAAGTGTATAAAATATATAGTAGTGGAACTAGCAATGAATCTTGGGGGACTCCCGCAAAGACTGGACGAATAGAAGAAATGTCTGAGCCCTGCCGAACTGTGAAAAATCTATAGAAAAGGAAAGATTGAAGAATCAGGAAGTATGTGTGCGGTAGTATAGACTAGAGTTTAAATAGAAGATCCTGGTGCCAGATTTTTACGAGCGCCTGAGCGACAGCCAAAAATACACCATTGCATGCAGTTTTTGTTCTAATGCTCTAGTAATGTAGTCTGTAACTCTGTGTAAGTGATGTGTTGTCGAATGGAATGTGCGAAAGCCAAAACCGAAGGTCAGGAATTATTTGTTGGTCAGTCAGTATGTCAACAAGTCTTTTGGATATTAATTTTTCAAACATTTTGGAACAAATCGGAAGAAGGCTAATTGTTCTGTAGAATGAAGGATTGTATATGTCTTTGCCTGTTTTGTGTATAATTTTAATGAGAGAATATTCCCATTGTAATCGAAATTTTTCTGTCCTCAGTATACAGTTGTAAATTGTTGACAGAAATACTAGAGCTTTCCTTTGCATCTGTTGGATCGCTGCGGCTGTAATCAAGTCATAAGTCGGCTGTAATTAAGTCAGCTTTTCTTTTAGGTAAATGTTGGATTTGAAGTGCGACTGAGATGGAGTGAACGAAGGAGGTGGTAGGGTAAGTTGTAGAGGAATGTCTAAAGTGCTGAGTATGAGGGTCTCATGTTCAATGTTTGGGAAAAATCAGTGAATGGTTTAAAAACAGAAGAAAGATGATGAGTGAAGAGTTCAGATTTTCACCCATCCGACGCGGCCCAAGAACCATCTTCCCTTTGAAGGGATGCTGACACCTCGCGATGTTTTAGCAGCTTTCTGGTATGCTTCCATCTTCAGTCGAAACACAATTCATGATTTCATCATAGCTTGTCCTGTTGAATTTCTCTTTTAAATTGGTTATTTAGTCGGTTAAATGTCTTTCTTTCTGATGGGTATCTGTCAGTTTGCCATATCTTACGCGATGTTACCTTTGCTCTGATCAAATCCCTTATGTACTGAGGATATTTAGATAATTGCTCAGTTCCTCTGGGCTTGAATTTGGATATCGATGAAGAGCAAGCAGCTTCTTGATTGGTTGAGGTGAAAATTTCAACTGTCTCTTCCAGTTCAGTTTCACTTTTAATGGAAACTGGAATCGAGAGCGATGAATTCAAGAATTCTTTATAATGATCCCAGTCAATTGGTCCAGTAAAAAGTGATGGCTTTATTTGAGCGTTGATTACCTCACCAACCATAACTAGATGAACAGCGGAATGAACAAATATCAGAACTCGAACAAATGGTATAAGGTATGGTTCCTAGTACTTTTTTTAATAAAAAAAAGTCCGAAAGGTGTGGAGATTCACGTCTAGATACAGGCCAGTATGTCGGTGTGTCAGTATTTATTGTGTCTAATGAAAGCTGGTGTATAGCAGCCCTCAAATTCCTTCAAGAGTATGATATTTAAAACATAAAATAAACAATGGAATGAAACCATGAATTATTAAATATATGATTATTGGTTTTAATGTTAAAAATATCATTTCAAAATTAAATTATTATTGGTTTAATTTATAGTCCATTTTACAGGTAAAGAAGTGAGTAATTTTTGACTAGCCGGCCTGCTAATGAAACCTCACTTCTTATCTATCTTATCTAACGTCACGTCACATAACCTCCATCTTCTTATCCCGCCAAACCTTTGAGTTATTGCATTATTTAGATATCAGTTATTCTCTTATTACGTTCAATTATTAAATTCTTTACTTTGTTTTTACGTTTTCGTTTATTTTTCATTATTTTTAGTTTTTGGCCTGTTTGTGTTTATTATTCATTTTTTTTTTTTAGTTTGTGTCCCTCTATGTTTATTTTTCATTTTTTTTCGTTTATTTTCGTCATATTATAGATCTTCTTAGAATATGGGATTTGCCATCTTCAGAAGAACAGGCAATTCTATATTTTCAAAATGTTGGGATACTTGCAGACTTGAAATTTTGTGAACGAGGCCATCGAATGAAGTTAACCAGGAAAGCCAAATGGAGATGCTGCCATAGGACTTGTGACACAAAACTTTTAATAAGGAAAGGAACATGGTTGGAGGGCTCGAGGATTTCGTTTTTAACAGCTTTAAAATTGATATATGAGTGGTCCGATAACTTAACAACGATGAACGATGCGAATTTTTGTGACAGAGAAGAGGACCCGTTTCTCGCTATTTTAAATGGCATAAAACAATTTCGCCTTCCAAAATAAATAATACAAAGTGAAAATAAATTATACATATGTTGTTTATAGTGTTGATATTCTTTCTTTTATATGTAAATATTATAATATTATGAAATTTCATTTTCATCTTTTATATCTATATATGTTCTTCAAGTGTTTTTTATTATTTCATTTTGATGTTTTATATGTACATATCTTCTTAAAGTGTTTATTTTGTAATTAATTTGTTTTTGTATCTGTTTACACTTTCAATAACACGAATATAATACAATAATACGAAGATAGGAAGTAGGAGAAAGCTTATCATTGCGTTATCGGAATTATCAGTGTTCAGGTTATAAACATTGGCAGATAGCAGTCAGTGCCGGCCTGCTAGCCAAAAAGTACCAAGAAGTGTTATTTCATCCTTTACTATACAACATGTATTTATTCGGAGATTTTTTTTTTTTTAATAGAAGGAGTGAAGATTAAATAGATAAATATTTTTCTGGACACAGAATGCTTCTTCATATATAAAATCTAAAATAAAGTAATTTAAAAAGATACTGTAGAATTGGCAAACAATCTGAGTTATCAGAAATATAAAACAGTGTAATACAACCTAATAGTTCATTGGTTTTCAAAAATACCGGTTGGTCATCACTATTTGACTAATACCGATTAAAGC